TAAGCCCTAGATGTAACATGCCGTATAGAACCCCGAATGACTCCATACAATCCACTTAGCTCTCATAAAATAAGAAGTAGAACAATAAGAGTAAAACAATAGTCCAAGTCCAAAACATTTTATAAAGCAAAGCGGAAGTCTAAAACACTTGTCTCATCATAGCCATTTAATACAATAGAATGAAATTGGGCCTAGCCCATACATTATGTCCAAAAGAGAAAATACATGAAAGAAAGTGAAACAATAAACTCCGTCCTCAAAGCATGAGGACTCACCAAAGATCGAAAATCTCAAACTCAACCACTAGTCACGAAACCCTGAAAGTTGATGGGAAAATGTAGGCAAGAGTATGTGTTAGTACAAAACAATGTACCAAGTATGATAGCTATGCATAAACATTTAAATCATACAAAAAGGGGCATTTCATTTCATGACATGCAATTGACCAAGCTAAAACATAATATAAAAACATAAGTCATAAATCATGGTCAATGCAAACTAACTTCATCTTTAAAACATGTGAACTCATATGCGATACTTCTTGAAGTAACCTTAGTTCATTATTACTTGTCGGGAATTATCCTTAATCGACATGTGAGACCATGTGAGCTATTAACATGTAATTCAGTGTCTATACCACACCAAAACAGGTGTCCTACTTGCAAAAGTAAGACCATGAATTTCTAGCTATTGTGGATCCACTAGCTAATGTCTATCTGAGACAACATCCTATAGTGGCACAGAGTTATGGGATAAGAAGATTGCTACTAGAAACCTGACATCTACAAACGGGGAAGCTTCCATCTCATGAGATTGCTTCTAGAAACCCGGCCTCTACTAACGAGAGAGCTTCCATCCCATCATCAATATCCACTCGGTGCTAAGCATAAATCCCACGGAATAGTCATTTCTTACTTGACTTCATTATTCATGGAAAGGTTCCCTTGGACAACCTATCCAAGCTAGTTCATTAGGATAGCTCTGACTCTTTGTTTCAATTATGAGATAGAGACTTTCAACCTAAGAATCATTTCTATATGAGAAAACCTCTCACATCATGCTAGTTTGTGTTTATGAGAATATCCTTTCACAACACAACATCATCATTGGTACTTTACTCTCAAAGAACCCTTAAATATTTGCATGGATTTCATAAAACAATGCATGAGTGCATAATTTTCGTCTTGAAGCTCAAAACCCACTTTCAATCATCAACTCTTAGAAAACATGGGTTAGATATGGATTTCATCATAAATATATGTAAAGCTTGCAATACATGCTTAATTTCATAAAACTCTTCCTTGAAGATCAGAATCCCACATCATATGATTTATAACTTGAAAACATGGGGATTACATGGGTTCCAGGCGAGATCATCATAAAATCATCATATTTCATCAATTCATGCATAAGCGATCATAATTCAATCATTTAAATCAATAATGAAAAGAACCCATGATAATTGAATAAAACTCTAACTCAATTGGGGAATTCTACCTTTTGAAATAGAGAAATTTGGGAACTCCACGGATGGAAGAAATTCATGGATGAAAACTATCAAACCTTGAATCCAAATGCTAGCCTTCAATGGAGAAATTGAGACCTTAGCTTTATACCCTAGATGAATCCTCCTCCTCCTCCTTCTTCTTCTTCTTCAAGTTTCTAGAGAGAGAATTATTTGAGAGCTCTTCTTTTTTGGTGAATTTAGAGATAATAATTTCTATTGGGAAATTTGTGGGTAAAAAGCTTATATAGGGGTCTTAGTGAAGGGTAAAACAACGTAGTATAGGAACTGATTAATTAGGAAAAGACTCAATTTCCCCTGAAATAACTGTCAGTTGTCCACCGACTCACCAACCATGAACTCAAGTCGATAAGCCGTGGTCTAACCCACGGTCCATCCTGGTGGACCTTCGTTGGCCATCAAAAACATGGAATTTGGGCCTCGAACCATGGACGTATACCACAGACCATAGTCTGGCCTACGGTCCGTAGGTCAAGTCGTGGTCCTGAGCCTCTGAAAACATGGCAGGTTGGCCAACCCACAGACAACACTATGGTCAGTGGTTCTACCCACGGGTTGCGATTAACCTCCCTTGCTAACACCTACAGCTTCCCAAAATTTCGTTCATTTCCCTTTTTTGGATACGAGGTGTTATAGCCCCTATGGTGATACTTGGATTTGGGCATGGTGGCTAATAGTTTATGTTGATATTCATAGCTCCCATCAAGAGAGGTCCTAAAGATTCATCAATTTCATTGACATTGAGAACCTTCAATAGCACCTCAAACAACTATTTAGCAAGTGGTTTAGCCCACTTTTGGTACGCCAAGACTTGGTACCTATAAACCAGTGACAAAGTAGGGAATTTCGTTAAGAGCGTACGAAATTTAATGTCAAGGTAAATTAATGTCACAGTAAAGAATTTCACTAAGAGTGTTTCCATAGTCCATCAGATATAATATGTTTACCCCCACAAAGGTAGAAACACGATTTGTGTACATCCTATCATTTCCATAACCTACTTGTGGAATTATTCTAGATATATTATTATAAAATGGATAGAAAAGTTCCTACACAAGGAATATAATTCTGATTTAAGTTATATACACCTTTATAAAATTTAGAGATAATTGTCAAAAACACGCCTGAAGTAACAGACTTTTGCAAGTCTCCTATCTGACTTTCATCAACTAACTATCAAATCACATCTCAAAATTAATGAGTCGGTTTACATTTGGACGAAATTTTAAGCCTAATTAACTTGTGACACAACCTTTTGTGGTTGTATTGATAAACTTGGTCTAGTTAGTTTCGAGGTTTGTTTTGATAAATAGCTAACTATAGTTTAGATAGAAAACGCAAACACCTTATGGTTAAAGATATGAAACTCATGAAAAAAGTAATACAACACGTATGTTTTTTACTTACTCAAAAACACGTGACCTATAAATTACACAGAATAAAAAACCAAGTAAGTTACCTAATTTGAGGAGGCCAAAGATTGATATCATTGTATGGATTACAACCATGTTTTATATTATCCCTCCACTCCAAAACTTTTTCTTTTTTCTCACCAATATCACTCCAAAACATCAACACAAATTCACCAGCACTATAATTGTCTTTACAATACTTAACTTTTTCTTCGGTTGGCAATACAACGAACTTGTGTGCTGCATCTTACAAATCTTCAAGAACTTCAATTGGGATCCCATGATTGATTATTTGGAAGCAACCCCACTTCCTTGCTACTTCTTGAATTGATTTTTAACATTTAAATCATAAAAATTTGATAAATGAATTGTTGGGATTGATTCTTGATTGTCAATTTGGGATTTGTCTATTATGTGTTCTTTTGATTGAATACATTGATTTGGTATATTTTCAAGGCTTCTGTCTACTAGACCTTTTATGCCATTTGCTTTCTTGATTACAAAATCAAGTATGTCATCATTTAGTTCAAATTTTGGTGAAGTCATTTGTGTGTTGAATCTTGATGAGTGTGTACTAATGGAACAAGGAAATTTGGGGATTTTTTATGGTGGGTTTGAGAGGGAAGTGTGTGTGGGGGAGGGAGGGGAGAATGGGGTTGTCTATGAAATGATGGAAGAAGGATATTTGGGGGTTTTATGGTGGATTTGAGGAGGGAGAGGTGTTAGGTTTTGCCCGAATTTTCTTACCTTGTTTGAAATTTATTTTTCTATTGAAGAAAAGTCAAAGTACCATAAATGCTTGTACTCTATTATATCCATAAAAAAATATTAGTAAAAATAGTACTACTATAATTTAATATTTAATTTTACTTTTAATATTATAATTTTATAGCTATAAATTATTATGGCAATTGAGAATATATGATGGGGACATATATCAAATGTGTATTGTTTTTTAATTTTTTGAGTAAATAGGAAAAAGATTTAAAAATTCATAAAAGCAACACTACTTAAATCTTTTGGAAGAAAAAAATTAATATACTTGAGTGCATTTCCCTATAAATTACTAAATCTTCATCATATTTGTGTTCTTTGTTTTCTAGAAAATCGATATATTAATTAAAGTCTCTCCAAACGTGTTAGATAGTGTCAAATGTGAAATTATTAAATTTCAACTATGCCAAATGCTCAAAACTCAAGAAATGTGAAATTATAATTATATATATTGGTTAAAATATTGGAAACTATACTCTACAACATATCAACACAATTTTTTAATGAGTTGAGCTAGTAAATAAATGGGGCAATGATTAGGCCAAACTTGGATGGATTTGACGAATCATATTTTCATGAATGAGTGTTTGTCATTATGGTAAATTTTTTGTAGAATTTACATAGTATTTGATAATCAAAACTTGACATTTAATACCAGTTTTCGTCATTGAGAGAATACCACTAACAATCTTTGATGATTGAGGGGTTTTGTCACCCTATATTTGATACCACTCTTAGGAGAGAAAGTAAATTCATTCTATACATGAAATATATAGTTAATGATGGAGATAGTTACTACCGGACACGATCTTAGAATATGATAAGCGTAATTTAAGTAGGTGTTTTTCGCCTCATTTTTTGTATTCAGTATCCTATTTAAAACTCAATGCAAATACATTTCTAAACTCGAGATATTTAATTGATGGCGGAGATAAATACTACTCATAATGAGTACATGTTTTTTTCTTTTTCTATATTCGCTATCCACTTTAAAGAAAGCCTATTTACAAATTATAGAGTTCAAGTTTAAAATTATCATAGTGTTACACACCAACTATTAAAGGAATAAAATTACAATACTATAAAGAAAAAAATATGGGATTAAATTATTATAAACAAAAAGTAGGATCAAGAGTAAAATAAGATTATTAATGATTAGAACAAAACAAGATAATGACAGAATTATACTAACTCACTGATTATGTAAAGAGAGATTTTTTTGTCAATTCATGATAACAAATTTGACAATACAATAACATTCACATAACAAGATATTATAGATTAGAATATCAAATTTTAACAAAATCTAGTGATGTTATACAAGAAGGCCTCTTACAGTAGAAATAATCCCAATAATCAGAATGCAAGACATTTTTGTACACTGATTTTTCTCCATCTTTCAGCATTTCTGGAAATGGACCAATGACACTGTGAAGGCTAGCGTTCACAAATAGAGGTACATATATTCGAGCCCTGCTCGAATCAACTTCTACACACTGCTCGATACTCTTGTATTGATTATTGATCATGATCTGCAACAGGTTACTTATGTTAACTGCTAAGCCACCTTTGATTGGATTTGTGTCGATCCAATTATCTCCTTTAGTCCCTCGGAAATATAAGCCCCCCGTTTCATCTTGGAAGAGTAGAGTGATGCAGGACACGTCGCAGTGTCGGCGAGCCGCTATGGTGATACTTGGATTTGGGCATGGTGGATAATAGTTTATGTTGATATTCATAGTTCCCATCAAGAGAGGTTCTAAGGATTCATTAATTTCATTGACATTGAGACCCTTCAATAGCACCTCTAACAATTTTTTAGCAAGTGGTTTAGCACACTTTTGGTACTCCACGACTTGGTACCTATAAACCAGGGACAAAGTCAGAAATTTCGTTAAGAGAGTACGAGATTTGATGTCTAGGTAATTTAATGTCAAAGTAAATAATTTCACTGAGAGTGTTTACATAGTCCATCAGAGACAACATTTTTATCCCACAAAGGTAGAAATAAGATCTGCGTACATCCTATCATCTTCATACCCTACTTGTGGAATTATACTAGATATATTATTGTAAAACAGATAGAAAAAATTTCTACATATGCAACATAATTCTGATTTAAGGTATATACACCTTTATAAAATATAGAGATAATAGTCAAAAACACGCCTGAATTAACAAATTTTTGCAAGTCTCCTATCTAACTGTCATCAACTAACTATCAAATCACATCTCAAAATTAATGAGTCAGTTGCGATTTGGATGATATTTTAAGCCTAATTAACTTGTGAGACGACCTTTTGTGATTTTATTGAGACACTTGGTCCAGTAAGTTACGAGGTTTGTTTTAATAAATAGCTAACTATAGTTTAGACAGAAAACGCAAACATCTTACGGCTAAAGATATGAAACTCATGAAAAAAGTAATACTACTAGTATGTTTTTTACTTACTCAAAAATACGTGAACTATAAATTACCCAGAACAGAAAACCCAAAAAGTTACCTTGTTTAAGGAGGCCAAAGATTGCTATTATTTTTTGGATTACAATCTTATTTTATATTATCCCTCCACTCTAAATATTTTTCATTTTTCTCACCAATAGCACTCCAAAACATCAACACAGATTCACCAGCACTACAACTGGCTTTACAATACGTAACTTTTTCTTCAACTGGCAATTCAAAATTCTTGTGTGCTGCATATATCAAATCTTCAAGAACTTCAATTGGGATCCCATGATTGATGATTTGGAAGCATCTCCACTTGCTTGCTGCTTCTTGAATTCATTTTTCAACATTTAAGTCATAAAAAAAATGATAAATCAATTGTTGGGATTGATTCTTGATTGTCAATTTGGGATTTGTCTAGACTGTGTTCTTTTGGTGAATACATTGATTTGGTATAATTTCAAGGCTTCTGTAAACTAGGCCTTTCATTCCATTTGCTTTCTTGATTACAAAATAAAGTATGTCATCATTTGGTTCAAATTTTGATAAAGTCATTTGTGTGTTGAATCTTGATGAGTGTGTACAAATGAAACAAGGAAATTTGGGGGTTTTTTTATGATGGGTTTGAGAGGGGTGTGTGTGGGGGGACGGAGGGGAGAAGGGGCGTTGTCTATAAAATGATGGAAGAAGGAGATTTGGGGGTTTTATGCTGGGTTTGAGGGGGGAGGGGTGTTAGGGTTTCACCCGAATTTTCTTATATTGTTTGAAGTTTATTTTTCTATTGAAGGAAAGTCAAAGTATTACCATAAGTGCTTGTACTCTATTCTATCCATAAAAAAATATTAGTAAAAATAGTACCACTATAATTTACTATATTATTTTACTTTTAATATTATAATTCCATAGCTATAAATTATTATGACAATTAAGAATATTTGATGGGGATATATATCAAATGTGTATTTTTTTTTTTTTTGAGTAAATAGGAAAAAGCTTTAAAAAGTCATAAAAGCAGTACTACTTACATCTTTTAGAAGAAAATTTTTCATATGCTTAAGTGCATATCCCTATAAATTACTAAATCTTCATCATGTTTGTGTTTTTTGTTTGCTAGAAAATCGATACAGTAATTAACCTCTCTCCAAACGTGTTAGATAGTGTCAAATGTGAAATTATTAAATTTCAACTATATCAAATGCTCAAAATTCAAGAAATGTGAAATTATACACTTATTTATACTGGTTAAAAGGTTGTAAATTACATTCTACAACATATCAACATAGGTTTTTAATGAGTTGAGCTAGTAAATAAATGGGGTGATGATCAGGCCAAACTTGGATGGATTTGACGAATCATATTTTTTGAATGAGTTTTTTTTCATTAGGGTGAATTTTTTGCAGAATTTACGTAGTATTTGATAATCAAAATTCGACATTTGTTACCAGTTTTCGTCATTGAGGGACAACCTGTAACAATCTTTGATGATTGATGGGTTTTGTCACCCTATATTTGATACGTTTTTAGGAGTGAAAGTAAATTTATTCTCAACTCAAAATCTATAGTTAATGATTGAGATAGTTACTACCGGTCACAATCTTAGAATATGATAAGCATAATTGAAGTAGGTGTTTTCCCCCTCATTTTTTGTGTTTAGTATCCTATTTAAAACTAAATGCAAATACATTTCTAAACTCGAGATCTTTAATTGATAGCGGAGATAATTACTATTCATCATGAGTACTTGATTTTTCTTAATGTATATTCAGTATCCGCTTTAAACAAAGTCCATTTTCATTAGTGAGTTCAAGTTTAAAATTATCACAGTGTTACACAGTAACGATTAGAAGAATAAACTTACAATACTATAAAGAAAAAAATAATGGGATAAATTTATTATTAACAAAAAGTAGGATAAATGGTAAAATAAGATTATTAAATGATTAAAACAAAACAAGATAACGACACAATCATACCAACTCACTGGCTATGTAAAGAGAGTTTTTTTTGTCATTACATGATAACAAATTTGACAATACAATAACATTCACATAACAAGAAATTTGTAGATTAAAATATCAAATTTTAACAAAATATAGTGATGCTTTACCAGAAAGCCTCTTACGGTAGAAATAATCCCAATAATCATAATACAAGACATGTTTCTACACTGGTTTTTCTCCATCTTTCAGCATTTGTGGAAATGGACCAATGACATTGTCAAGGCTAGCGTTCACAAATAGCGGTAGGGATATTCGATCCCTGCTCGAATCAACTGCTACACAATGCTCGATACTCTTGTATCGATCATTGCTCATGATCTGCAACAAGTCACCTATGTTAACCGTTAAGGCGCCTTTGATTGGATTTACGTGGATCCAATTATCTCCTTTAGTACCTCAGACATATAGAACTATCGTGTCATCCTAGAAGAGGAGAGTGATGCAGGACACGTCGCAGTGTCGGCGAGCCCCTATGGTGATACTTGGATTTGGGCATGGTGGATAATAGTTTATTGTTGATATTCATAGTTCCCATCAGGAGAGGTTCAAAAGATTCATCAATTTCATTGACATTGAGACCTATCAATAACATTTCTAACAACTTTTTAGCAAGTGGTTAAGCCCACTTTTGATACTCCAAGACTTGGTACCTATAAATCAGTGACAAAGTCCAATTTTTTTTTAGAGCGAACGAAATTTAATGGCAAGGTAATTTAATTGTCAAACTAAAGAGTTTCACTAAGAGTGTTTTCATACTCCATCAGAGACAATATTTTTACCCCACAAAGTTAGAAATAAAATTTGTGTACATCATATCCTCTCCATACCCTACTTGTGAAATTATACTAGATATATTATTGTAAAACAGATAGAAAATATTTCTTCATATGCAATATAATTCTGATTTTAAGTTATATACCTCTTTATAAAACTTAGAGTAATAGGCAAAAACACGCGTGAAGTAACAGATTTTGCAAGTCTCTTATCTGACTGTCATCAACTAACTATCAAATCACATCTCAAAATCAATGAGTATGTTGTCATTTGGATGAAGTTTTAAGCCTAATTAACTTGTGACACAGCCTTTTGTGATTGTATTAAGACACTTGGTCTAGTAAGTTTCGAGGTTTGTTTTGATAAATAGATAATTATAGTTTAGATAGAAAACGCAAGCACCTTACGGTTAAAGATATGAAAATCATGAAAAAAGTAATACTACAAGTATGTTTTTTACTTACTCAAAAATACATTACCTATAAATGTCACACCCCAACCCTAGGTGAGGCGGACAAGTACCTTATGAACACATACCTTACAAGTGACCTATGATGAAGTAAACTACTATGCAAATAGATTTACTAATGAGAAGTTTCGTATACAATACATTTCGACTAGCTGAACTGATACATGTGAAAAGTGAAACTATGAATACAGAGGATAGCTTTACAATGTCTACAAAGCCGCTGTTAGAATCCATGACTGTACAACTAGGAAAATACGCAAAGTAAAGATTCGGCAGAGCCTCGAATCAACCTGGAGCTCACCAACAACCTCTGAGTATCATGTGCCTCTATTGGGGAGATCTATTAGTTGAGTACATGTACCTGCAACATGAAATGCCGCATCCCCAATAAGGGACGTCAGTACGAAAGAATGTACTGAATATGTAAGGCATAATACAACCATATGTAAAATGAAAGCTGAAGTGAAATCAAATAACAATAGATAAGGATTAGAGACCACCTTTACTTATACTTATGGAATCGTGTATGTTACATTATTTTCTTTACTTTACTGTACGTTAAAATCTTGATAAGGCATATGATACAAATGACCATCTGATCAGTGGTAGAAGAGGATAACCCATGCTAGGCATTTTAACCCCTGGGATGCTGTCCTCATAATTCCACAAATTGGGATCGACCCATGCTAGGCATCCGCCCTTGAGCTGCCACCCTTCTATACCAATTGGGATCGGTCATTGCTAGACTTTCGCCCCTGAGCTGCCACCCTTCTATACCAATTGGGATCGGTCATTGCTAGACTTTCGCCCCTGAGCTGCCACCCTTCTATACCAATTGGGATCGACCCATGCTAAGCATTTTCCCCTGGGCTGACACCCACAATTATATAGATTGCTTCACTTAGATTCTTTAATCTTTGAGATTGTTGTTTTGATGTTCATAACTCTTTAGATATTGTTCTTTTGATGATCATAACTCTTTTGAGATTGCTATTTTGGTGGTCATAATCGTTGTTGAGATTTGGAACTATGGACCAGTAGTAGAAGACATACGAATATGGACTTACGATAATGACAATGACTTGGGAAGCAAATCTGACACCAACGTAATACTTAGGAGCTTCTCTGACTCAGTAAGCATTTTGACATCTCAAGTTGACGCACATATCAAGTGAAGACAGTTAACATTCAGCGAAAAGATGTGAACTCTATATTATAGCCAAATACTCACTAACTAATATCAAATACAAGGTATACATGAACGTGGAACCAAGGGAGAATGTGGACAAATTCAACTTAAGGATGGATACATATTGCAAGTAAGTACATATAAATGTACAATAGAGTAAGTAGGGATCTTGTGAGGTAACATAATAGTCTAACACAATGGGAGTAATAACCAATAAAGGAAACATCTGAACATGTGAAAAGATGACATATATGATGGAATAGACAATTGAAGCATATTGGCAAGATATGGGCAGATTGTATATCCAACATATAAACATATGTACCATGCGTAATCTAGGATAATTTTGCTTTATATAAGGGGAATACGTTCCAAGGGTACTTTGACGATGAAATAAGTCTAAACCTTGCATGCTAATACTTGGTAGAGGAAGCACGTACATTTAGTGATAAACTCATATTAGGAGTACTCACTTTGATGCTCTAGGGAGTAGGAACTGCAACTATGGATTAGTCACTACCAAGGGCACTTCGAAAGCTTACTTTTTAATACAAGTGTTGGATTCATGCCAAAGAAATAGGAAATCGAATAGTCTTACATACCTTGCTGCACAACACTGGATATTACAATGAGTTAACCGTCTTTGTTTTAGATTATGTATCTAAAATGAGTAAATAATGAAACTAGCATTAGTAGCTGATTAAAAAGTTTGGGCTACTTGATCAGACCTAAATAGTAATTGGCAGTAAATCTATAATTGACCCATCAAGGGTGTTCTTCCACCCATTCTCCTCTAATTTTTTCATATAGTATACAACCTTCTTATAAGGTCCTCCGAAACTCCTCAATTTTCATAAAGTTTGGAAAACAGTATACAAAGGGATGACATAAAGTAAGCTCATGCAACAATCAATTAAGTGGTGTATCACTACACTTTCAATGTTCTATCCTCTAACCAATTCCCATGACTTTTCTGCACATATCCAGTCACACCCCCTTATTTTACGATACACAAAACAGTCCCTATGCATCATAATATGGAAGTAGCAATATGAATCATGGCTTCCCACCAACATCCCACTAATTCCCACTAACATTACATTTAAGATGCTCAAAACGAGCTCACAATCAAAATTTAAGGGTACTTCACTCCATGGCTGTCCCAACAAGCACATCCTTCCTGAACATTTACCAAGCTCACACCATATAGAGGCAACACTCCTAAATTTATTAACACATACAACCTTTCACAAACAATGCAAGAAAAAGAGAGGGATAAAAATTTCCATAACTTACCTTGCTGGACAAAAACCTCACTTGTTAAGACTTAGATTCTTCAAGGTTTAGGTTGTCCTCTCCAGCTTGATGTTAAATCAAATTATAACTTGAATTCCTTAAGATGGGAGATGTTTTACCAACTTGTACTTTAACAACACCTATTTCCTTCAGAGTTTAATGGTGAAGCTGTAGACCAGAACTCTTGGAGCTTCTATGGCTTTCCTTGGGAGTAATTTTCTGGAGAATAAGTGATGAAGGAGATGTGATGAGCTTGAGTGGTTTACAGGTACCATCTGGACATTTTCACTTAGTAAATTTGAGAAATAATATGGTCCTTTACTTTAAGCAAGTAGGTGCATCACCTCCTCAAGTTCTGCCACAAGTTTTTAAGTAGGTGCATCACCTCATTTCCCTTTTCACTTAAAATACAGTCCACTTATTCTAAGTAGGTGCATCACCTACTCGATATTTTCACTTAAAATGCAGTCCACTTATTCTAAGTAGGTGCATCACTTACTTTTCCCTTTTAATTAAAATTCAGTCCACTAATTCTAAGTAGGTGCATCACCTACTTGCCCCTTTTAACTTAAAATTCAGTCCACTAATTCT